CTGTAGTCTTCCTTCTATTAAAACTCATACAAATCTAGGGCCCCCCCTAATGTTTTAAATCAACTTTCAATTGTAGGCCCAAAACCATAAATTTCCGGGGGGCGGCAGATTTAATATTAGGGGAGGCTTTAATAATAGGGGGAAGCGATTATGCATGCATGTATGGGCACGTGTCTATGTGTATATATATATATATATGTGTGTGTGTGTGTGTGTGTGTGTGTGCATATGTTTTTTTTAATGTACGTGTGTAGGTGTATGTGCGTATGTGCAAAAAGTGTGTCATTCACAAAAATCAAAGCACACTTCCAGAGCACGTAGATTTCTGGTCACCAAGTGCTTTCATGGCACTTGAGCCTTCGCTGAAATCTGCAGCACTCTTACAAAGGCTGTCGAACATCAGCACATCAAGAAGGATGCTGACGATGGTCTTGTCGGCTGCTTGCCTCTGTCAGTGGTGGGTGCGGGTTACTCCTCGTTGCAGAGGGTGCCGAAATGCAAAAGCTACAAGTAGGCCAATTCTTTGCCAGAGGTTGTCACAGGCCTGAAGCCTCGCGTGCCTGTTGAACTCGGCTACTCTGCCGAGCACTTTGAACAAGATGTCGAAAAAAGCAGCTGCCGCAGACTGGACTCGACTCCCTGCTGTCTTTGGAGAGCTGCACACATGCTCTGGGGACGCCGGAACAAACGATCGGAACTGCAATGCATGGTCCGGACCATACGGCAGCATTAAAAAGCTGCAGTCCAAACTCCACCAAGGCAAGGCGAAGCCGGCAGAATGCTGCTGCGGAGCATGCAGCTGGACTTCTTGTTTGGTTTGCAGGCTTGTGAACCTTCGCGGGGTTTCCTGCGCATTCATAGTCGCCACAGAAGTCAGGCCTAACGCCTTTGTCCAGCTTTGCCTCCAGGTTGCCTACCTGTAGAGACGGCTGCGATTTGGCAATGGTTTGAGGTCGAAGTGGAGGCTGTGACCACGGGAGGTCGACCACCTTCTCGCCAAAGCCTCCCGTCAGCCCAGGTGTTGGTAAGTTTCTGGAAATGATGCTCGGCAGCCCATCCAAGATGAAGATGTCGGCATCTTTCGTCCCTGGAGACAAGCCAGTCCGAATACGCGGAAGCTTTTCTGCATTCGGAATTAGATGGGGCGAAATGTTCTTTCACAATAGTTGGAAACCTGGTCGGGAGAGTCCGAACGCCGAATCCCAGCAGCTCGCGACTGGATAGAGTAGATCAGAAGATCCCCTGCTAAACCGCGTTGCACATCTTGCCACATCCTGCTATCTGAGGCAGGCTAACTGGTCTGGCTCTCAGTTTGAGGTATCAAACAAGCGACACAACTCTCGATTATGACAGCTCGTGCTTCTGGAAACGTTTGATTTCAGTTGTGGGCCGGGTCGGAATGTGGGTTGACTCAGCACGCCCGCAGCAGGGAAGGACTCACTGTTTGCGCGTTATCCTTCCGTTTTGGCTTCGTTCGGTTTCAACCTTTAACTGGCACTTCTCAGGCCTTAGGTTTGTGGAGCGCTTGGTTAGAATTGATGCTGCAGATGATTCCGCGGACCGAGCCTGGATTTTGTCTGTTCGCACGACTTTCTCAAGGGTTCCAGGTGTGAGACTTGCACCGAAGAGATGTTGCCAGGGTGCGGAAGTTCTAGCACAGGTCACATGTGGAAGCTGAACAACAATGTCGAACCCACGGCGAAGAACCTCAGGGATATATCGAGACTTGCCTGAGCCTGGTGGAGCTTTGCAGGTGTTGGGTCATCGGTTTGGCTTGTCAGCTCGAGCGAAAGAGCTGTGCAGTGCATCCAGGGCTATGGGGTGGGCTATGGGTTCGGGCATGAGACAGGACCGTTAGGAGAATGCTATCAGGTTTGAGTAGCTCTGTGCAGTTCATGAGTCGCACATCCGCTTTGCGGCTCGTCCATCTCGGAATTGATGAAGAAATGTGTGTGCGAATTTTGGCGCGTTCAGTATCTTGGGAATCTTCATGACTAACCTCCCAGCTGGTCCATTCATGGACACTGCAAGGGTCCGTTCCGGATTGAGGTCTCAGCAGTGGGGTCATGTGGCTGAGTTATTAATTCCTTGTGGGGCCTTCGGGGCAGATCATGCAACCGAAGCCCTTGAAACAGTTGGGTCGTTGCCAGAGTCCCACACCACCCAGATGGCACCATTTCTTCTTGGATTGGGGGCAAAGTGATCGTAGGAAATCGCGGCGCGTTTTTGTTGCTTTTGAGTTCATCGTGTTACCTGTGTCCCACCAGATGGTCCAAGGAGCTGGCGACGGCGCTTGTTTCTAATCGAGGATGGAGAAGGTGCTCTGTCTCATGATGTTAACTATGCAGTGCTTCCGAGAAGCTGGAGGGATGCGAGCTAGACGCAAAAAGAAGGAATCCGGCTGCTGTCTTCTTTCTCGCGAGCCGGAGTTGCACGGATCTGAATCACAAGGCATACGGTCTCGTCAGGGTCTGCATCGGGCCATATTCTGAGACTGGGTGATGGGGTCCTGGAGGGCGAATCTTCCAACACAGCCGGCCATGTCGACAATGCCTGTGACAGCTTGTGGAGCATCCGCCCATGTCGTAAAGTTCGAGAAAAGTTGTCCAAAGAGTACTTCTGCAGCACAAGCCCCACGTACAGTAAGCTGTGGAGCCATTTGAGGTGGCGTGGCTATGATGCTGCTTCCTTAGCATTCAGATGGTTAGGGAACTAGCTGTCGAAAGATCTGTCAATGCACCAAGGTATCTCTCGGAAAAAGAAGATGGTCTGATGGTGCCCGGGCTGCTCGCTTTCACTAGCATCGGATGCCTTCCCGAGATGATTCTTGCAGCACTTGCATGCAGCCCGTACAGCGCACTGAAAGCCCGCGCAGAAACTGTTTCATGATCCCACTGGTCCCAATGTTAGCCCTGCTCTGGTGAGCCCTGATGTTGCTTCTAAGGGCAATGCTGCGCGGCAGGAAGAAAGGCCAGTTCCCTCACCTTCCTTTGAAACTAGTATACGGCGGGCGCCGACAGTGCCCAAGACCCACCCACTTTCAACACCCGGATGAAGTTGCTAACAGTCTCGAGCAATGTCTCTCGTGGACCGGACTCTTGCATGCCAGACTTCGGCAATCAAAGTTGTGCACGGGACTGTGCTGGTTGCTTGACCTCTCGCAGGCACAAAGTCCCTTTCCAGGCTGCAGAAGATCGAGGAAGAGCGATGGGACGGGAGGGAGCGTGGAGGGGATCTTTCAAAGCACCCAAAGGTCCAGCATCAGCAATGCTGTTTCAAGCTGCTTGACCCCCCAAAACTGCCTGGGACCAGTATGCCGATGCAAGGGAATCTAGAGCTGTCTCTTTACGCTACACACTAGACCGCCGTTCAACCCCCCGATCTCAAGCATGAGGAGGCCCGAACGTAAAGCATGGACACTGCTCCATGACGATGGTCATGTATGTAAAGTTTGGTAAAGGAACTTTCGTTATGTTGCCTCGGGGACCTTGTTTCGAGGCACTGCCAGAAGTGGTGCTCGATCCGGTCTCTTTGCAGCAGCGAGGACGGCATCATGCGGCATCACAGTCGCTAAGAAGACACGGACCGAGCCAGACAATCACCGAGGTTGCTGATGATATGACATACAGCACCCCATCAGCAAGCATCTGGAGAATGAGTTGACTTCAGAAGATGCTCCCCTGTGCCGGTCAGTTGACTGACTTCCACGAGGCACGATGAACAACATCAAGCAATACGAAATTGCTTTCTTTGGTGGGCAGGTGACATGGACGCACGATGGTCAATTGCTTGTTCAGAGGATGTCAGAGGCTTTCAACTTTACAGCGGTCAGTCAGTAAGGAAGCAAGACTTATTTACATAACTACGAGTCATGACTGGGTAGCCGAAGAATACTTCATGCTCCGGATATATCGCATGCCGCTCCGTCATTTCGTTGCGCAAGACTGTCGGGTATGGTTCTGCACATGATGCTGCACTTTCGCTCCCTGCGCAATAGAACGTCTTGAGCCGGCAGGTACTTTGTCAACGGTTCAGTGCTAACCAGAGCCGAGCGAGTTGCCAAGGTTAGCTCACTGAGTCCAGCCGCGTACCTACGTGCTTGCAGCTTCTGGCCCAATTCCCGGTAGCGAAATACGTGCAGACATGAAGTAGCAGCAAGTGCAGAATGAAGTGGCATGGGAGCCTGCGCAGCTTGATGCTGGTATTGGTGATGCCAGCAATGGCCATCGTCCACAATTTTGCACGACAAGGTCTAGAGCAAAGCATATCTGGCCAGAAGCAAGCTGATGACATCCGCTTCTTGTCCCTTATTGGGACCGAGGGGTCGGGGCATCATTTGCTGACTCCGGTCTTGCGCAAGGTGATGAACATGACTCTTGTGGACCTCCGAGGGGTAGGCCCAGCTCGCCACATCAGCCAGGCTAGCTTTGTAGGCGGCGAAGATGTCTTCAATGCTTTTATGGCAAACGATGCATCGGCCTTTCACGAAGCACTTCTGCAGCACCAATCCGGAGATTTGATTCAACAAGCTTACAGCTTCCCAACAAAGTTTCATCATCGGTCTGCAGACTCGAGACTCTTCGACCTGAGCGGTCTCTACCAGATGTTGGACTCTGCTGGGGTGAGCCGGAAGGCGGTTATTCGCTACGAGCGGGATTTAGGCGATTGCGCCAGGTCCGTCTTTAAGCGCTGGCCAGACCTTTGCGAGGATAACCTCAAAGCATGCGAAGCACAGCAAGAAGCTTTCAACAAAGTTATAGAGACAAGCCTCGAGACCCTCAACAACATGCAGGTGCCCATTCTGCGGATCGGTATTGCCCAGTTGCAGCAAAACTGCCATAAGGTTGGCCGCAAATTGCTTCAGTTTTTTCGCGACGCAAACATGTTGCTTCCCGATTCGCCCTGGCATCAAGAGGACGAGGAAAGCACACAGAACTTGACAAACACAGTCTGCAAAGTTTTTCACAATAGGGAGGAACTCTATTTAAACCAAACGAACGCCACTGCCGAAGAGAGCAGCGCATGATGGCGGACAAAGTCCCCGTGGTGCGGTTAACGGCGGCTAGCAGAAAAGGGTATCCATGCAGAATGAGTCTGGTCAGTCTGGTCCATCATACGTTCGCTTGAACAGTTTCGAAGTGAAGCCCTTCCTCCCACCATGTGCCACTGAGGGCCTGAATGTAAAGACATTGCCGGAGAAGCTCTATCCGAGACCTGGTCGGAAATTGAGCAGCTAAATGTGCCCGGTGGGTGCCCCAGTGCTGAGGATGAGGCTGCGCTGGACAGATGGTGCTGGCAAGGAGCAGCCCTTGGCTCAGTGCGAAAACCCTGTTCAGCTTTGCCGGAAGTAGATTGCATGCACACTCAGCAAAACCGCACGACCCTACTGCCACAGCCTCAGGCAAATCTTGGTGGCGGCACCTGAAGACGTGAGCCGTAAAGCATGGATGGTGGCTTGGTCCGCACAGTTGACTCTACACTGCACCATGAGGTGCCATGACGAGTATACACCTGCAGTATAGCATAGATGGGGGCGATGATCCATGCCGCAGAGCTACGGAGAACGAGGTGTGCGAGTCTGAGAGTTAAACTGGGCAGAGATGCCAGCAAGCTGAACAGCCTGGATAATGCTCAGAGAGGCTACGAGGCATGGTCCAATGCTTCTACTTGTACCTGGCTGTTCCAGACAGCTTGGTACTTCGGCCACCAGCAACTGGCAACTGTGTTCTTTCATTCGCATGAGGCGTCCTTGCGGGCACCCTGCCCCTGTATCCAAGGTTGTCATCCGAACTTCAGCTGGCATGGGAATGGCTGGCCGTGCAGGGCTCAGCCATTGAGCAAATGAATCGCTTGAGTCCATGATCCTTCCTGCCACTCCCCTGCTTCAGATGCCGTGGTTTGACGATGACACGCGCAGCCGTGTGTAGCTCTTTCAAGCGCCTCGGCTTCAAAAGCCCAGCAAGGAAAGATGACTTGTCTAAACAGGGTGCCGAGTAGAGGTCAAAGAAGACTTCTCATGCTTTCTGCTGCTTCCTGTCTCCAGTCTTTCCATTCGAGAAGTGCGCGACAACTTTCGGATTTACTTCGACAGAAGGGCGACAGAACACGGCTCTTCGTCTAGCAGTTCTGCTTATATGCGCTGGCCTGCAGAACTTTCGGGGCTGTGTTGATTTGGTTCCAAGCCATCCCAGACCAACACCGGAACAGAAGATATCGACACGGAGCCAGGTTGGGATTGCGATTTGAGCAGGCAGGTGGAAGCAGCACTGCCCCAAGCTCCACACAAGCACTGGTCGTTTGCGTCACTGCAATGCAGCCAAGCAGTTCGAGTTCGGCTGGAACTCTATAGCAATGTTTTCTCAAGCACGTGCTACGTTTGAGGCGTCTTCGGTCTTCTGAAGCGCTGAGTGGCAAAGTCAAGCAGTTGACGCATCGCTGCCTGCCCATAACACGTTTGAAGCCTCAGCGCACAGGCTTTTCCGTTGTTTTCCTAGCAGCTTCGACGGTCCGCCAGATAGCATGCAAGCCAATTTCGGTGCTGGGGGCGTCAAGGTGTTCATTTGTATCGGACTACAGGTTGTTGAAGCATAGCGTTGCTTGGGCGGTCAGCACGGAATGACGGCTTTGCAGATCTTTCCTGCCATGCGACTAGGCCTGGCAGTGTTTTAATGAGCGATAATGAGCATGAACCTGCCGGGAATTTCTGGCGCAGCGAAAAATTCTGTGCTCTAGTGTGGCTCTGAAACCAATACCCCTGAAATTGGATCCCTGAGATCTTTCCGCTTTCTGTTCTGTTCTGACAGCCTTTTACCCTGCATCGAAGGTTCGTCCTAGCAAGGCATGAGGCAAACACACAACCAAGCGAGCTGTGAGAGCGTAGACAGCTGTTGCGCAGCTTTGCCGTCGGTCTGAGCTGGAATGACATCTGGTCTCGAAGCCTACTTGGAGGTCGAGGCATGAGCGGAGCGGTAGGAAGAGACCAGTTGAACCAAGGATGCATCCCCCCCCCCCCGGCGCCCCGCCCCGAGCCAGCAAGCCGGGTGTGCGGGAGGCTGGAAGCAAATGGTGGCGACATTGCGGTGAGATGTCGCGGGCTTGAAATGGCCGTTGCAAGCCCATCCGATTCCTAAGTTAATTTTCTGATGATGCTAAGTCTTTGGAGATCTCAGCCATGCGCCAAGGGAAGAATCTTCGGTTGGTGACATTTGTGGCCTCTGCGGGTTCTTAAGCAAGAGGGCGGCCACAAGAAAGAACGAAACATGATTTACGCATCACAAGGTTCTGTTATTTTCAGCCATTGCGGAGAAACATGTCGCACAGATTGCCAAAGTACCCCCGACAAAGTTGAGGTCTCACCCATGACCGGCGTTGCTAATTGATCTGCAAAATCGTGTCTGCATGGTTGGGAGACGATGCCAAAGTGAAGTTCGCGAAAACCAATCCAGTTTGCGGCTGTTTCATCTCCAATGCATGCAGTTCTTCGCCAGCATGCGGCGTTGGACAATAAGGGTCTCCGTGTTCCCCTATGTAAAGCCATAGTAAGGATCGGCCAAGTGCTGCAGCAAAATGCGTCTCGCGTTCTGATGCGGCCGGCTCGGCAGTGATTTTCCAATAGCACCTGGAGACATGAGAGCGTCGTAAACTCAAGGAGCGCACAGAATCAGAGCAGTCACCTTTTGCAGCTGACGGACAGATAATTCGAGTATCTCTTGCAGATTCTAGACAGGATCCTTACTCAAGCCCACACCATGGCAATGGCAGATGCAGCTGTGGGCCAAGCATGGAGCTGAGATTGCTTTGGCTTTGGGGTGTGGCCCAGAGCAGCTGGACGGTTTCCTTAATCTGCCCTGTTCCAGAACGTTCTTCGGCGCAGCTGTAATCAAGTCTTGGTGCTCCAGTACATATTCGTTTGAAACGAGATAGCTCCTTGCGCTATTTTTGGTCCGAACTCGCTCTAAAAGGGGAACGAGATAGGGGCACCGCATAAAGCGAGATCATTCTTATTCATGATCAGAGCTGCTACTAACGATACTTGAACGAGATCCAGTTTTTCTGCCAGTACTTTATATGATGAAACGAGATAAAGCAACCGCTTCGAGATACCGCAAGTAGCCTAAGCCTTAAATAAACGCAGCGGCTCACATGAGTTATGGGTGAGTTCGAAAAGATAGCTATGGACAAATTCTATTTCCATGTGCAAGTCCTGGGCCGCCGTTCCTGCCGTTCCTTGCAAGGCATTCGTCAGCACCCGTGCGCCGCCTCTCCAGTGCTTCGGACCCCAAAATATGACCTGCAGGAAGCATTGCCACATCCTGATGGCCCATGTATAAGGCAGCCAACCACAGGCCGAAGGGCGCCGCGTGGTCCGGATACAGGGTGTCCCAGGTGCTTCACGCAGCCGACCTGCACCAGATTGAATCGTCACGAAATCAAGCAGGCGTAATTCACATGACGAACATTGTCGTGACTTCCGATTAGTTGAGCAGCAGCAGCATCAGCGGATCGCTGCACAGGATCACCGTGTGGGCCTTTTGCGTCTCAAGCTGCTGGAGCAACAACAGAATTTGCAGGCGAGGTCTTACCAGGACAAGACCTGTCGAGGAGAGATCCAAGCAATGCAGTCTCGGGCAGATGGTCAGCATGACTACCGCACCGGTCGGCCACATGACAGCTGTGTGCAAAGCGTTCAGGCGCACTCTGCAGAGATCACAGACCACAGCTGAGTCTGCTAAGTAGTGCTACGCAACTACACGGCAGATGTATTCTGATTGTTGAGACTGACTGCTGGCGATTCACAGACTCCTACTCTTGCTGTTCTACAGTAGACCGATGTAGACCGCATGATCATTGGTCATGATCCAGCATTCGTAGCAGTACGGCCTTCACAGCCATTGCAGCAGAGCTATGGCCCTGCTGGGAGTCACCTTGTGTGGCTTTCTGGGCCTCTCCGGCTTCATGCCGCTTGACACTTCTCAGTGTGCCAAGAGTCTGCTTCAGGCATGGTTTGTTGAGCTGACTCGTGCCCACCAAGCCTATTGCGCAATGAGGTTTATTCTCGAGCGACTGCTGCCTCATTCCGGGCCGACGAGGATGTCGGTGCATGCGCGAAGCAGCATGCAATCCTCTTATCGTATCTGACCAAGCAAGTGGAGCTGTAGCAGTGTAGCGCAACATTTCTCGCAAAGGATTGTGCCACTTTGTGCCTCGAATTAATAGAGCATGTCGTTCACTCCACGGCGTCCAAGCTCCCAACACGTGATGCAACGACAGATCTAAAATTTAACAAGAAGCTTAATAGTGCGGCAGGCTCCGCGTATCGCGCTTGGACGAGCAGACAGGCCTGCCAGCGTGAGTCAATCCAACCGTTGCTTCGCTCGTGCTTTTCGAATTCAGGCTCCTGAACTTTCATGCCAGGAGCTTCTACTACTGGTATGTAGGTTCGATTTGATCTGTTTGCACAGCTCTTGCTCTACATAACGTGTGTATGCATTCGCAAACATAAACATCTATGCGCGTGTATGTGCGCGTGCCTTTGCGTGCTGTGCAGGCAAGGTATGTGCGAATACGCATGTAGTCGTTCACTTGTTTGCATTCCTGCGGTCACTATATGCATGCATATGTTGGCTCATTGTGAACGACAGGATTGACCTGGACAACGGGACTTGGACTTGGCGAGAGTCCAGCTTACAAGACCGTGACGGGGCTGCGTCTTGGGCCGGTTGTCCAGGGGTGCTGTTTTGCAGTTGGCAAAGTAGGGCAAAGTCAACATGTGCCACAACGATCAACGATGTGCAAGCACAGCCTTGGTCACGACGTCTTTCTCAGGTTTGTCATTGCATGCTTCCGTTGCTTTCCACACGAACCAGGTTACCATCGTCATGGAAACGCTTCCGAAAGGACGCCTAGGTGGGTACGCATGTCTACTTCCGAAGTAGCTGGCACGGGAACAAATACGGCAGACGAACAGCAAGCCGGGTTCTTCACAGTTCGATGTGTGCCCAAACCCGGCATATTCTAGATCTTGGCTCTGCAGAAGCTGCTCGGGGTTGAGATCAGAGGGTGGCCGGCGTCAGGTGTCAACCTTGTACATGGGCAGCAGAAGGTCAGCCGGGTCGTGATGAGCCTCTGCTTCACTTTCACTCAAATAGCTGAGATCCGCAACGAAGCAGCCTTTTGAGCCAAGCTTGCAGAGTGCAACCACGGGTTCGCGGCCAGTCGTAAACTAGTTGCAAACCGCGTTGTGTTACATAACGTTACATATGCATGCATGTACGGTAGTTGTCATTTGTGTAATGTCGTATACTCGTATACACACTCAGACGCACAGACATAGACGGAGACACAGTGACGCGGACAGACACAGACACAGACTAAGTGCTTTGCTTATGAATTATTATGCACATGCATGTGTGTACACAAGTAGGAAATGTCCATGTATGCATGTATGTATGTAGTGATGTTTATGTATGTACCTACGTGTGTAGTTATGTACGTATGCATGCGCGTATTTTTTATGTATATGTAGTATATGTAGGGATGTAGGTGCGTGCATATGTATGGAACTTCTGTGCCTTTTTGTATATATGGTGGAGGGGGTGCGGGGCTGGGGTGTTGGGCTTAGTAGCAACTAGTAGTATAGTAGTAGTCGTCGTCGTCGTAGTAGTAGTAGTAGTAGTGGTGCAATCAGACTCATGGGGTTGGCTTCCGTCAGCAAGGAAAGAAGCATTCAACGCGGGCTGGCGTGTGGGAGACGAGGTCCTTTCCGTCAACGGGCACAAGGTGGGCACTCATTCCAGAATCCAGACCTCGCAGAGCTGCCTCATCAAATTGCCAGAACGTTGCACCATTGTCACAAAACGAGATGTTGCATGCTACCTGCATTGCACTCAGATCGCACGGCAGCATTGAGTGTCATCGCCTACAGGCTCTGTAGTTGAAGGGGCCGTGACACACCATGCGCAGCTCCCGCATGGGCTTGGGAGTTTTAGTGGCCATGGTGGCTCCGAGACTGGTCTGGAATCTTCCATGAGACCGACTGCAACAATCAGGTGCATTCTAACGCTGCAACGCAGCGGGCAGTGCGCGACGCCGTCAAAAAGCAGTTTCAGCACGGAGGCCGCGTGGAATTTGAGGCCTGACGTGTGTTCCATTCCATGATGTCTCAAAGCTCTGAATGATGATTCATTCCACATTACCTAGACTCAGAGGTTCGGGTGCCAAAGTCGCCATTTGGGTTGCATGATGCTGTGAAATCGTTTTCACATGCCACGACAACTGTTAGTAGTGAATGAGTCGTGAATGCAGGACAGCTTTACTCGGGTCTTAACCAGAGCAGTGCAGACCTTCCCGCAAAGCGTGATAATGAGAATGAAAAGCATGCGCAGGTCCGCCGCTGGGGAGTTCCGGACGGTGGCCGCGGCATGCTGCAATTTACGACGAACGGGCGCAGGGAGCTTATCTTCTTATGGGAAAGTCCCAGGTCCTGGCAGGTCCTATCAGCACAGCCTTTGTGAGGCTAAGTCCGTGAATCTGTGAGGCTCAGTACGAGTTTGGTGTGATGTAGCCGGCCATCTTCAGCTAACGGCAAGATTTCATCGGAAATCTAGGCCCACCTAGGTCCCGCATGACGAAGGTTGCCGACGAAGCTTCAAGGGGTGGACGTTTTGCTACTGAGGCAGGGACCACCTGGTACCAATGCTCGATATTGCAAAGGGAATCTTGCAGGACAGTTCTGCAAAACATACTGCAAGACATGCGCTAAGCCCGCTATAAGCACTGACTAATTGCGGAGTGTTATTTTAGCTTCCGTGTTGGGAGGCCCATGAATGAGCGTTTGATAGGGAAGGGATGGCGCAGTTTCTGGAAAGATACTATCCCAAGCACACTGTGTATCTGCCGGGAGGAGTTTCACGTTGTCCTCTTCATGGAGGGAACTCTGACGAAGCCGAAGACACGATTGGGGCGACAGGTGGGCTTCAGGAGCTAGGGTCATTCCGGTGAAGGCGAAAAGCTCACACCAGTTCTATCGCAAGTGCACTTCTTGCAGGTCATCAAAGAGCTGGATGGCCGAGACATGGCATTCAAGGCCTGCCACCCTGCCACAGGGCTCTTGTTGGAAATGAGCTTCAGCGGTGTGTCACATGGCAAACACATTGCCGTCAAAGGCATTTTCTGCAGCACGCCGCAACCATTCTGAGATCTTCAGGGGTTGATCCAGCGTGTACGGAACTGCCATGGGATTGTTCAAGAGACGGCTTCCCCACTTGAGTGGCAAAAACCATTGTCGTCTTTTCTTGTTGAGTGCTGTGAGGCGGTTGATTGCAGCGACGAGAAGGCGAACCCCGGCATCCGAAACGTAACTGCGCAGCTCACAGGGGAGGAGGCACGTCATCCAAAGCGAGTCCTGTGAGTGACGTACATGTGCTCCTGTGCAATAGGTGCTGCCGCAGCTTTTCATTGATGGGGTGCACATCGCCGGCGGAAGGGCGACCTGGTCCTTGTCTACTGTTGCTGTTGGATCTGGATTGTTTGCCTCGCTCCTGTAGCAGGTGTTTCTTCATTAATAGATGGCACGATTCACGTGCATTTGCTGTCGGAGGGCCTTGAGTTGCGGGGTCGGTCATCCTGATGCTGAATAAGACATCTGCTGCAACATTGATTTTCTGGAGGACATTTGCATCCTACGAGTCAAGATTCGCAGATATCGCCACTACAAAGAGCAGGCGTGATGTTCCATCAGAGAATTGAAGCGAAGAACTTGTCCGGAGTATTCAGTCAACTGCTGCATTAGGGACACTGTCCTGTAGCACCTCACACCTGCGTTCTGAAGCAAGCTTTTCATACAAGTGAACTTAACTGTGATCCGCCGATCTGTTGCTTGCTGCCACACGTTTGACAGCTCATGCGCGCAGCTTACAAGGCAATTCTTCAGGCGCTCCAGCATGTCTCCACGACAGCGACGCCTGATCTCGTCCAGGATGAAGAGAAATGCTGCCGCCGCACGGTGTTACGTTGGCTTCAGTTTCCAAGTGAAGGTTCTACAAGCTGGACCCGTGTCATTACAGGCTCTAAGGACCTAGTTTATCCTATTTTAATCTTTGCGGGCCCCTCAAACGCAGATCTGTGTGCAACAGGAAAGCATCCCATGCAGCAGCATGGATCGCGAATCAATGAACTAACATGTGCTCGAGCAGGGTGCGTTCAATGGTGGGGCCAGCTGAACCCGTCCCGGATGGCTTCCGTAAGTTGGCAAGATATCCTAGTTTCCGAACAACGGCGTCCAAGAAACGTCCGCGGACAAACAAATGTTTTTCTCTTTAGTGCCAGGTGCTTGTCAACATCGACTGCTGCAGCGGCAGTCGCAGCCACGGTAGCTTTCGCAAGGCCGTGAACGATTTGCTGCATGTTGTAAAGCCGATCGCGCCCATCGATTTTCTCGGTCAGAACCTTGGAACATCCCGCCGGATGAGTTCGTTTGCGATTGCTGCTGTGTAGCCTTACGCTTCGTAGATTCAGATGACCAGGTTGTCGCTTTGTGACGTATAGGTATAGTGTTGCTTCAGGCAGCAGCGTGGACTACAAGCTTCGGCCCGCAGGCGCCCGGCACAGAAGGGGGTTGAAGGTGGGAGGATGCAGGGGTGAGCAGGGCAGATCGCAGCAAGTAGGTCGAGCCCTGCTCGTCGTGCCAGTAGGCATGCCATGAGCACGGTTGCGGGCGACAAAAACGCGCGGCTCGTGACAGGAGACCCGTCTGCTTGCGGGCTTCAGAAACTTTGGCTGAGACGGAGGTCCAGGAGAAGTTGTTGAGCGACTTGGATGTCCTTCAGAGCTCTTGCAGGTCTTACTGAGTCATACAGAATACCCGCAGTACATGTCTCAGTTCAGGTGATGCCTGGGCCGGAGGCTTAGACAACAAATGCCTGTCTGCGCGGTCTCAGAAGGCATAGCACGCCATGTTCCTAAAGGAGCATGCGCTGCTCAATCGAGAAGGCCGCGCTTGCTTCGACGCCGTTTCCAGCAATCCGGGCTCACTGTTTGTGCCTTTGGTCACTTGCAAGCCGGATCAGGATCAGTCTTCACCGAACCAGAGCTTTTCGCAGAGAGCTGCCCTCAGCCGGTTGCTGCAGTGAGCCTGCAGAGGTAGATGGCGTCATGCTAGTCTAGCGCAATGCAGCCTTGTAGATCGGATCACTGTTTAGTTGAGACACAGGAACAAGTATCAAGACAATGCCTTCGGGATCCAACACAGCTATTTGCGCGAGCTGAGCGCTTCTTTCAGAGGCGCTGCAGCGGGACCTAGTGCCGTAGCAACTAAGCAACCAAAGCAACCACACTCTGAGCGTACCCCCGGTACATCCCGGTACCCCCCACCAGACGAGAAGACGAGCACAACGGCGGAGAGAAGCCCTTGCGTGGAAGTGCCGAGGATTCTCGGCTCGCTGAATGAGCCAGGCGAGAAGCAGGCGTCAACTTGAAAGGGGGCGGATTCGGGACTGTGCCGTTTGGGTTAGTCTAGGCGCTCGATTCCCGAGTCTTACTGTAGTCTTGACGGAGTGTGCAGCTTCAGGGCTTCAACATAGTCCACGTACATCTGCGATCTGATCATATCCTTACAGATCAGCCGCAGCATGCCGCACTCTGTCGCCCTGCTCCTAGGGCCCGGTGTACTTCGAGCGCGTCACGAGGGCACGCCTCTCAGGGTATGCCGACAGCCTCCGATGAGGCTCATGATAGAGCAGGCTTCTGGGAGGACGGAGTTTGAAGCTGAGGCGTCCAGCCAGAGCCAGGACATCGTGTCACAGCCCCGGTCGGCCACGCTGCCCATGCAGAGGTCAGATCATGAGCCCTCCAGCTCTGAGCCGCCCACAGAGGCTCTATGTGCCTGGGATCGACTTCTCCGGCGGGTTTGCGGCCGTCGGCTCATAACAGTTTTGTAGTACTACGTGTACGCAGGATTGAGGACTCGCCGGCGCGCTGAACATGCAGCCCCGAGGCTCCTCAGTTTCGTCCTCTTGCTGAAGCTGGCCACGAGCATGGCTCTCAGTGCCACCGAGAGCAGCACGGCGCTGCCTTCGCAAGGCGATCGCTTGCATGCTTGCGTGGTGCTTGAGAGGTTGTGGCGCTGTTGGGTGGCTGCTGACAACCGAACGTCGTCAGCTCATTGGACCTCTATGGGGGGCAGCAGGTGGCGAGCATGGAGATGCTGCATAGACCATCGTCTCCAGCTCTGTTGCTCTTCGTTTCGTGCGTTTGCACCTACGTGAAATGGTTTCTATAAGTCCTACTATGATCCGTGGGCACGGCCGTTGAGGACTCAGACCTGTCCTGAAGCCTTTCCTGAGCCCAGGCCATTTGTCGAGATGGTGGATCGCTTGGAGGCCCCGTGCAAAGTGCGTGCGTGCGCATGTCTTCTGAAAGAGCTCAGCCGTCGCCATGCAAGCCCTGTTGAATGATGATTGGGATGGCACTGCGGACTGATGCTGATTGCTCCCATCAATGCTCTTGGTGAAGGCGTGGGTGCGAAGCCAGAAAGAGTCCGGACGGCAGGCATCGTGCTCGATGCTCTTGTAGGAGTCTTGAACGAGTGACCTGGCCGGAGGTGGTACTCTTTGGTGAGTCTTTTGGTGGTTTGCTCTCCCTGGCCGTCGCGTTGCGGATGGGCGGTGAGGCTTTGAAAGGCCTCAGAGAGTTTGGGAGAGAGCCTGCTTTTTAGCACCTGTCCATGGGACGAGCACACAGACAGGAACGCGCACAGCTTGGCAGTGCCATGTCGGCTCAAGCGGTCCATGACTTGGCCAAATATTCGCCACGACTGAGAACTCCTTCCGTGCCCTGGCAAAGACCTGACTCCAAAACTGCGATGGTGAGATGACTCCACAACAATTATATCATTAATCGCTCCACGCTGCCTATCGTTTTGCAATGTTACCATGGGTATGCCGTGCACATTTTCTCAGTATCCTCACTTGCCGGCATCAGGTAATCTCCAGCAAGAATCTTCCTGGAACTTGATGTCGCCCCCTGAGCACAGCAATGCAGTGTGATTTTGCTTGCACCGGAGTCCGAGCTCTGGGTGTGCAAGGTTTGTCTTCCATGTGCTTTTGCTCATACCGACGCACATCTTCGCACTACATGAGGAGACAGGACCTGGTTGGACAACCAAGCACCGCTTTGGATGGGAGTTTCCGAAAATAGGGGACCCTAATATAGTAACCCAAAATAAGGTACCCTAATTTTTGGAAACTGCCATATCCAAGTCCGAGTGAGCCATCGAGCATGACGCACGTAGCCCAGGACATTCGGCAAAGTCACACACAGCACTCCTGTGCCTTGTCGGCAATGGCTGCAGGTTCTCAGCGATTCTCTTCTTGAGCGTAGTGCTTGTGAACTCGGAGTGGTTTAAATGTGCATGGCGTGCTGATTTTCTGGTAATTGGCCATGATTGGACCAGAAATTGCCTCCGATGTCAAAGCATCCCCATGCGGCCCATGTGTGCAGAACAGTCCAGATCCGATTAGCAGCTGCCGGGCTTCCATCGTTTCATGCTGCCTTCTCTGACCTCGCTGAGGAGAAGCGAGCCGGCAGCAGGCGCCAGCGATGAAATGCTTCTTGCCGTCATGCAGAGGAACAGGTTCAGTAAATACGTCTTCGAATTCAAGCATCTTCATCTCGGTGTGCACGTATCTAAGTATCAATCCATCCATCTATAGTTAAAGGCAGTTCACACAAACAAACACAGGCACTGAAGTGTTCGTGTTGGATCCTGTATATAGTCTATTCCAAGCGTCGTAAGACTCGAGCCAAGGTCCTAGCGCACCTTGCCGATCAAACTCAGCGTCAAGTTTTTAAAGTAACGAAAGGGGAAACAGGGGCTTCGATGAGGGTACAGAGACAGCGCCGCTTGAGAAAGAGTTTGTTTTTAGGTGCGGGTGCCGTGGATCTTTTAGTTTTGGAGAGAACGTGCTTTTATCCAAAGTATTGTCCGGACTTGAGCGTACCGGGATTCAAACATCCATGGTACCCTCAAGTCCGGACAGTTTTCTTGAGTTAAAACCTGTTCGCTTGGTCTCCAAGACCATCCAATCAGAATTACGAATAAGAAGTGTACGGCACATTAACAGTTGCAGGCATCGAATTGAACTTGCAGTGGTACCCGTATGCAGCGCTTAGCCACACCCAGAAATCCAGCCCTTCCAATTTCTCAAATTCATGCAATCCAGCCCCTGGATTTCTTGACATCGCGCTTTTTTGAAAAAACACTTTTATAGAATCTATAGAACCTTAGTAAAGCCCCTCAGTTTCTGAATGGCGTGTTTTTCGAAGCAAAGAAAACAAGCAAGGAAAAATCGAAAAGAGCAACACAAGAAATTGGCACACCGAGGTCGGGCTTTGAAGTTACTTACCTAGATGGTTAGCTAGACTCTAGGCAGAGATGCCAAGGACTATGTCGCAGCCTTGGGGCAGCCACCCAGGTGATCCATTTGTGCCGTGGTGAACACTGGAAAGAGGGACAGTCCCGATTCCTGTCCCGGCGTTGCCGCTCCCAGTTCCCACCAACCATTTACTGATATATTCTGAGATATTCTGAGACCGCCAACAACCCATGAAGGGAAGGGAAGACAATCCAATATGTGCATGTTTCTTCCTGTTTTCACGAGTGCCGTTGTGTTTGAATTCATGGAGTATTCGAGGGCTCTTTGGGCGGTGGCCGCTTGGTTGCAGAGATTCGCCCAGAAAGACTCACTGAATCTGAGTCTGAGCCAGTGCTTTTCAGGATTTGGAGCCCCGGGCTTGGGGCCACTCAACCAGATGGGAAGCCCAGGACACCGGTTTATGAGCGGCAGAGCGCAAATGCAGCCCGCAGCTCCATGCCCAGCCGCACATTTCCCGCCACAGGACAGATCGGGATGCCACCAGGCTTTGGTCAACCACCCATGGGGCCTGGAGGCTGACTCGGTTTCAAAGCCAGGATTCCAGGATTGTGGGCGTCAGTGAGAGCTTCTGCAGGTTTCCCTGGAATGGGCCCTGGCATGGGTCCCCCCTTGGGCCCGGGCATGGGTCCTGGCATGCATCCCGGCATGGGTCCCGGCATGAGCCCCGCCATGCAGCCCGCTATGCAGCCCGGAATGGGCCCTCCCGGCATGCTTCTTGGCAGCACATCATGATCAAGCCGTTTTACTCTGTCAATGCAGTTCTGGCACTGCGAAGTTTCCGATTCACCATTGACACAGCGCGAGCACGTGAAACATGAGTGTCGAGCGACCCCAGTCTGATGTACCATGCGTGTACGGGCCCACATCAGAGTGTAGTGACATGTTTGTAGCTGACACGACGGAACATAAAACACTGCTCAAAAAGTCGCATACACTTGATCCGAAGGTGAACATTGAGTACCCCGCAGAGAACTGAATAAGGCAAGCAATGATTTTGGAGGTGCCCCTGCACCTCTACATGCCCGCTTGAAGACCACGGGCCTGCAGTGTAGACCAAAACGATAATCCAAACTGTTGCCGTGCTTTCTTTGGGCCTGCACATAGCCATGCTCCCATTCACTTGTCGAGGCCCATGGTTGTAAGCAGCAGCGCAGGAGGAGCCGGAGGAGCATGGGCTGGATTGAGGGGCTTTGCCTTGCTGGATGAGAATCACTCGACAGGTCAAAGAAAACCCGGTGACCATACAAACTGATTTGCAGGGCCACTGGGAAGCTTCTGGGTGGAAGACTGAGTTAAGTATAATTTCGAGACTTATCGAACGAGTGGAAGCCCGAAGCCTGTTCAGTAAGAAGCTAGATTGACAGGCCGTCTTTGACTCTTGGATCACGTCGCAGGCGACATGGCTCCGGCGAACCCCTCTGATCCTCGCGCGGGCTCCGTCCCTTGGAGATTACCCTCCAGCAGTTGTTTTTTGCCTTGGAGCTTAGTTAGATAGAGCCGTGTTGACGAGCCGTGGGCCAGTGCTTACAACCTCCATGATTATGTCCTTGAGCTACGCTTGGATTGCGCACGTCTCCCAAACCCACGACCAACTTCAGGATTAGATGTAGGACAATGTAGGATCGGAGTAGACCTACTCCGATGGCCTGCGCCAGGACGGGAAGACCTTGCTTACCTCTTGACCTAGCAGCCTAGCATCTAGATTCTGGATGTTATGTCGCCCCATTTGCATTGTTTCTTGTCACTCCGATGCTGCCTCGTTGCACCAAGGAGTGCGTAGTGCCCATGTGGAATGCGGAGGTGGGCAGACAAGTAGTTAACCTGGTTCGTGATTTCAGGGCTCGGTGGACCGGTTCCTGTAGCGCAGCGCTCTGTGCAGAGATTTGACAGAACGGCCCCCTGGCAGGAGTTCCTTTGTGAAGAGCATGCCGACTTGAAGGATGAGGCCACATACGAAGATGCAAAAGGTATCCGACGGAAGAGGATGCATGCCGCTCAGCCGCAGCTCTGTCGGTTCCATTTTCGGGTCGTTCGCCGAAAGACAGGAAATAGAGGGCTGAGCCGAAGCATTCGTCAGCCCGGAACCCCACACAAGGCACCACGCGCAGGACCTGCTAGTCCTAGCTTAACAACTGATAAATCTCATGGTCTGGCTGACGATAGCGACCGTCATGGCTCGTTGAATTTTCCGAGGACGGGGCAGACTGCACCTGCCAGTGCCCTAAAGCCCGCTGGTGGCAAGTGCCGAGTCAAGAGACCTTGTACCTCGGCAAGGATGGTTTACCGGCACCGGGGCGGACACCTGGGGTTTGTATTTTGAGGTTTGTATAAGTCCACAGACTAGGAATGCACGAGTGCGTGTCAGCCAACCGCCGACCCCATTTATTTATTCTTTGCAGAACTGCTTCTCCGTGCCGAATCACTTTCCTCAGCCGGCACATGCTCATCGCATCCGCACTCATGTCTCGTCAGCTGGGCTTCCTTGATGCCGAACGGAGCAGAAACCTTACATCTCGACGCATCGAACCAGAGGTTCTTGCAAAACGCAAAGTCAAACACTGCAGCGGTGACACCCTCGTGGCCAGCCGTGATGGAACTTCAGCACATTGTTTCCTGCCCTTCTCCGAATACGGTGTAGTTCTTGGTTGGTGTTGTTTTGTGGCTTGGCAGGTCCGATTTTGTTGCCGGGGGCGGGAGGCAGTGGCCGGTTCTCGAGTTTGGCCTTGCTAGAGGGTGGACAACGAGAAGCGAAAGAAATGGGAATCGCCGCTGAATAAGCATATCCTTACTGTGATCACAACGGCTTGACATTCAACGACCGCTTCTTCTCCGGCTTTGCAGTCTGTGCTTCCTAGAAGGCACCGGCCGAATTGGGTCGCAGGGTAATTCTGAAAGTCTTAGGCTAAACAAACGGGTGTAGAGTCAGAGCATAACGGGCTTGTGGGTCAGGGCCTGCAGAGGTTTGCCCGGGCAGATGATGAGAGTTAACATCACGGCCAAGTGAGGCCGAAGCGAAAGGGCGAAGGGGCATCATCTGTCAATCAGCAACACTTGGTGCAGGCTGAAGTAGTTTCTCCCAGAATGATCCTACGATCCTATGCGTGCCTGTGTAAGTATACGTAAATCAAATCAGTCTTCCTCTGTCGTCATCGTGAGCAGTCACATAGTCACACAGTGTTCTGCAAGTGTTGCATACGTCGTGCAGGCTCAGGAAAACCTGTATCTGAATCCTTCTGAACCAGAAAATGGCTGTCTCCATTGCAGCGCGTGCATTTACAGCCCCAGGAAAAGAGAGGATGCGTGTGCAGCATGTGTGTCTGTGCACTCATATGTATGTGTAGATGATAGGTAGATGGGCAAATCGACGGGCAGACAGTTACACAGATAGATCTGATAACTGATAGAGATGGAGATGCACGTGTCATCACGTGTGTATGCAGTGTATGTATGTATATGTATACATGCGAGAAAATAACACAAGCGCATACACGGAAACACACGCAGGCACACACACACACACTGACAGAGACAGACAGACGGGTCGCTGACAGGGGAGGCAGAGACAGACGGACAACACACATAACAGATGCATCGCGCTCCATGGGGCAATTGGTCTTTATAGGGTGCCCATGAAGCTTGAAACGTTGATGTTTTCAACTTCTGTAGCACGGGGGCTCATTTGCACTCCGCAGCCTGCACTTTTGAGATGCCGAGGGTGTGCAAAGATGGGCGCTGGCGCGATGACACGGGCCATCCAGCAAAGGACTGCTTGGGATATCGTCGGGGTGTCTGCAACACGGCAGACCCTCTTGGACCCGGGGCCGACGACCCATACTGTAGTATACTGTCGTCATGGTGGGCCTGATTAAACTGTCATCAAGGTTTGCCTTGATGCTTCGTTTTGTCTGATGCTCTAATAGGGGAGCGCGAGTGCAGGCTCACCAAGGTATACAGGATTTTGGACCAGGTGTCTGATTGCAAGCCGTGGCAGGACTTGGTGTGCGATACGTCCAACAGGCCCTGCTGTGAAATTGCGAAGCCAGTAAGATTTGCAGAACATCCGCAGAACATCCTGGTTTGTCAGAGACAGAAAGGCATACCGACAGACACCGGTTTCCGGGAGGGCGTGCCAGACTTGGGGGCAAGCGCGGAGTGATGCGTCGAAGGTAGTGAAGTCAACGGTGCCGGTCCTGGCCGCGGCCGATGAAGACCTTGGACACACCAACATAGCGGGTAACTATACATGGCAGAAGAAGCAAGACACATCTTAGGCTTCTCGACAGACCAGCAGAGCGGGGCGAGAGAGAGGGGCGTCTGAGGATTTGAAAAGCCCTTCATTTCGCTGGTTGAGTGTGACAGTCAGCCGAACAGCGGCCAGGTTCTACTTCTCGTCGCTTGGTGTTTTGATCCTTGCAGCCTTCGTGGCCACTCCTGGGGGCCGCAAGAGCTTCAGACAGGTCCTCGCACGCCGGGGATGCACATGTACAATGTACAATGTTGGATTACGGGAGCCTAATGTTATCGTCCCTTTAATAAT